AATGCAAAGGCATGGTTTTATACTAAGAACCGGAGGAGTATAATTAATTCAAACTCATGCTCGAAATGGTTTCTCTCTCTCTACACGCACGCACACACAATTGTTGGGATCCGTTTCGTGTTGATTAGCTTTTCGTTAAGTGCATGTGGCACCCCATTTAATACTAACTCATCAAATAATAATATAATTTCTCCATTAGGACTCTCCCGTTGAACACGTAACTAGTTTAATTCTTAACATGTGAAATTCAATGATGAGAGCCTTTGTCGTTCACCTTGGGGTTCCCAATCAAAATAAATCCAAGCAATACAATATAGTGCAAAACTCGGGTCGTTTCACTTTGAGGAGCCTTTATTTGAAATCCTAAGCAACTAAGTATCAAAAATAAAGAATTGACTTGAAAAGGGATTGATTTTCTTGTCCTGATTGGCAAAATTTAAAAGGATGTAAAATGAGTAAATAATTTTTGGATTTTTAGTTTTATAAAATGGATATGAATGAGATAAACAAAGAGAATTAACAAGTGATAGCAATTGGAAAAGCAATCCTCTAGCACAATGATTAAGGCTATCATTACTTCAATTAATTTGGGAGTTAGCTAAATTCAAAAGACTCTAAGGGCCACCCCCTAGACTCGGTTTAATTAGAATAGTCAACACCAAGCCACCTTGCATATTAATTATTCACAATTAAACTGTTTCAGCACAATTAGCCAAAAAGAAAATCAAAGAAAAGCAATTAACATTTTTAGTCCAATAACCAAGCCACCTTGAATTACCACTAAATGTTCACAATAATTTCAAAACATAGTCTGACCCAGTACAATGTAAAAATTAAAGCTAATCATAGCATAATGTTAAATGCTAATCAAAGATTCCAACAACTATAACCAATCTCAATACAAATATAAATCATCACAGCCCATTCAAACATTATAAAATTCATTTTAAGACCTAGAAATCACAATTATAATGAAAGAAGTAAAGATTAGAAGAGTTAAAACTCCCCTTTGAAGCTCTAAGTTCAAGCCATAACCATTGCTCTAGAGAATTGGAAGGATTTAGCTACTCCTAACCATCACCACAGCTCCACCAAAATTCCAATTCGGTTCAGCCATGAAGAACAATGAAGATGGAATCTGCAGGAGTGATTTTGCCGTGAAGCTATGGTCCTTCGTTCTCTCTTCCTCGCCGCTGGTCTCTTCAATTCACGCCGCCTCCAGCTCGTGAGTTCCTCCCGCCCCGCTTGCGTCTTCGCCTCCGCGCGTGTGTGTGTGTCGGTTTGCTCCTGGGTTTTTGAATAATAGGTTTTGTGGGGTATTATTCACGCCGCCCACGTCTTCTGCCTCAGCGCCGCTTGCGTCTCTTCCTTTCGGGTCCCCCTATGGTGAATGTAATATTGGATATTAGGGGTGGAGCAAAACGCAGCGTTTTGCTCCACCCTTTTATTATTTTATTTTATTTTCTTTTTTTTTAATTTATTTTTTCTTTTCTCTTTTTTTTTTATTTTCAAAATCTTCCAAAAACCTGCAAGCAAAAATTCAAAGATAAGGTAGCATTAATTGTCCTCAAAAATCAATTAGTCATAATTAAATCAAAACATGACAAATAGAAGAGGAAGGGAGGATATTAAGAAAAATGACAATGGTATTTTAGGAAAAACATGTCATATTTCTTATAATTAACTAACTTACCTAACTTTCTTAATCTAATCAAATTAGTTAAATAGGTTTTATACTAAGGACCGGAGGAGTATAATTAATTAAACTCATGCTCGAAATGGTTATCTCTCTCTCTACACGCACGCACACACACATATGTTGGGATCCGTTTCGTGTTGATTAGCTTTTCGTTAAGTGCATGTGGCACCCCATTTAATATTTTTCAGTTTCACTCATCAATTATATTATAATATAATTTCTCCATTATTCTGTTTTATTCTCTCCCGTTGAACACGTAACTAGTTTAATTCGTTTAACATGTGAAATTCAACCTCATTCTTTCACTGTTTATTGGCAATTTATACCAAATTATTTCTCCATTCTTTCCTGGGATCACATATATGCAGCGCAAGATGCTTCATTTCATTCATAGGTGAAATTTCGGCTGTTTTTAAAACAATTCAGTAGTTGAATAAATTTGAATTAGATTTGCGTGTATACTGATGAGATATATGTAATTTATTATAAATTGGCAAGGAAGATGGCAAGTTGTTCATATACAGACAACTATATATATTCACAATGTATGTGTGTATAAGATCAAAGTTCAATTCATAATGAAATTTCGTTGATTAATTTATAGCATTCGAATTTTGCCCACATTTTTGTTCGATTTTTTCAGCCCTGACGTACGGACCACACACATTGAATCATATGTAACAAACCTACGTTATTAATTAATATCTTACCCTAATTAAGTCTTTTAAGAATATTTTACCAAACCTCTCAACTTTTCTTCCCCATTTTGATTAAGTTGGCCCGCCCATTCTTTATATATCCATTCATGTTTGTTAAAATAATTGACTTCTTGCTTCCTTCTCCTTTTTTATTTTTGGGTTCTATTTTATTTTCCTTCTCCAGTGCTTTCATGATCTCCCATGAACATGGAATTCACCTGACTAGTTTTTTTCCCGTTTAACGTGAAATTGAACTTCAGTCTTCGACTCTTCTTGTTAGCTATTCAATTCTAAATTCTTTATTACATTTTCCCCCCTTTGGTTCAGAATTATGCCGTGCAAGATGCTTCGTTGCATTTGAGGTGAAACTTATGCTGTTTTTCTTTTTAATTCAACTTGAACTTTGCTCAGACTTTGCTCACATTTTATTGGTGAATCATTTACAATTTTTTTTCCTAGGCATATATATCATATAAGAAGCAATCATGTTCAAAGCATTAAATATAGGCACATTTTTCGGTAAAAATTTAAAAATTGATTCATCATATTGTGAGAAGTTAGTTTCTTTCATTAGACCCAATCCCTGTTAATCCTAGTAATTTATTTAAGGGTAAATCAAACTTCGATTTATATATTAGTAATTTAGTAGCCTCGTGAACATTTCCCAACTATTAAGGAAGATTGTTTTAAAAAATTTGATAAACATGTGAAATAGGTATATAAGACTAGCATTAATTTTCCAATTAGGTCCTACATTACGAAACAGATGAGTATATTTTAAAATTGGAGTATATAGTTTTGTTTTTTAAATCAAACTTCATACTTTCCAAACATTGAATTTAATTTGATGTGAAGTAATGCTCATATGGTAACGAAATATCAATTACCTGCTGTTACAATTACTTGCAAATAATAAAGAAAGTGGTCCAAATTAGGTTTTCCTAAGATGAAACATATTCTCAATTAAACCCATTCTTCTTCCATGAAAGACTTTGCTGAACGTAACTTTGAACCAAGTGCATATGTTAGTAACATCATAAATAGGCAATAGTGCAGTAATAATCTGATTATAATAATAAATTCAGGCTATTATATTTATATTGTCTATTTATAAACTCTCTTCTCAACCATTGGATCGGAGAATATTGAGAGGCCTCATTTCATGTGAAGTAGTCCAATATTGACTTCCCACGCATAACTAAATTTCTAGGAACGTCATAATTCTTCATTATATATTTTCATGTATGAAAAAGGACTCATGTTTTCACAAGAAGGGTTAATTATTAAATAAATGGAGCTTAATATGAACAGCTTGATCGATGTCTGAATTAAAACTAATACAAAGATTTGAACATTGAACATAGACGATTCAGATTAATTAAAGCTTGATCGTGTGGGCCCCAATTCTTGTTCAACATATAAGATCTTCACCGTGTGTGATGACTTCAAACTTCCCGGACCGTGGAATATATAATATTGAATCATACAAGGAAGTGTAATTTACGGGTGTTTTCTTCTTCTTTTTAATATTTATTTTTTCGTCTTATATATATATATTCAAGTCAATTAAACGCAAAATTTAATTAATATACTAGTTATTTGGATCTAATCAACCTACACTTTTCTTAACTCTTCTTTTATTAGACGTTGGTTAGATATAATAGAGATTATTTGCCTTCAGGTAATTTTTTCTTTAAATTTTTTTGCCAGGACTTCTTTAAATTATTATCATAAATTAAAAAACTAAATTAAATACGGACATAATACTGAAAAACGCATGACCTTAATTAACTTCTGTTGAAATTCAAGGTATCTTCATTTATTTTTTAAAAAAATTAAGAATTTAGGTGTAATCTTGGTTGTTGCCAAAGGACAACTAAATTTCATGCAAATGTATGGCGTACCGTACACTCCATTTTTCAATAAATAAATAAATAAATCAAGGCCAACTAAAATCTTGAATTGTGAAATATGTTTGCAAAGGGAAAATGACACATAGGTCCAAGTTAAGATACAAAATGGCACTTTGAAGCCTTGGAATTTTAAAATAACGCATTTTGGATTTAATAAGGCACACGCAAAAATTTCCCTTTCTCTCCGCCAAATTAGTGAAACGAGGAAGACCCAACAAATTAAATCAGCTATATTGATAATGGATAAGATTATCTTTTGACAAAAAACGATTAGTGGTTTTAATTTTACCAGCCTGAATGTTATTTATATTATTCAAAGTGTATATTTTAAACTACGAAGAAAAATACTGGACGTTGATTTTTAGATGTAGGAAGGGTTGGTTGATGTATAAATTTGCAGCGGAAGTTATATTAATTTCATAAATGATTTATTTAAACCCCGCGTGGAGAATTAATCAACATATGTGGCTTACCATTGTTATGCGTATTTTAACAAATAAGCATTCTTGTTTTGATAATTTAGGACGTGAAGGTTAAGGTCATATCGTGCCACTTTTTTACAATAATTGATCTCTTGAATTTTGCCGAAATTTAAATTAAATTACGCAGCACATTCATCAATTTTAATAATATAATAACAGCGGTTAATTGCTTCTAAGAGTACATGTCAAGAGTGAAGACATGCACAGGTGAAACTACTCAGACATTTGACTTTGTATATTATTTATGGGAAGCAACAAGAACAACAAATCATTTCTAGACGCAAAATAAAACCAAAATATTTTTCATAGTATTCTTATTCTTTCTAGCTATATAATTATGATAGAACTGCGCTATAATATTTTGCTTCCCTTATTCTTTTATCGAGAACGGCACTTGATGATCATCTGCATGAAAATAAGAACCAGAATGAGATTGAAGGCAGACATTAATTCTAAAAAGATGAATAACAACATTGTTACAAGACATGGCTGATTTACAAAATAAAAGTTAATAAGTATGCGTACAAGGAAAGTTTTCTCTCGGTTTACGTAGAAATGTTTACAAGTATTTAAGATAAGCAGATATAAACAAAATTTAATTAGGATCTCTTCACACTTTGGAGTAATGTTAATTCCAAGAAGGATGAGAATCTAAAAGCTGTTTATATAGGCACTTAAATTACTAAAAAACTCTTTAATAATATAGCAAATATGTGAAAGTTAATTCATTTATTACAACCCAAACTCTCTCTCTCTCTCTCTCTCTCTCTCTCTGTGTGTGAAGGACCTGTTCATTTTCATTTGTCATGTTCAAATTAAATTAAGAACCTAATAACATGTGTGTGTGTGTGTGCGTGCGAGCGAATTACCTGAAAATGAAATTGGAAAGAGTCAAGGATGACCCCCATTGGAACGGACATCCTGACCATTAGGGACATTAGTGGGACGTCTTATAGTGGTGCCCTGGGTCTGAGTGCTACTAGAAGTTGGGGCAGGGCTAATAGCTGTCTGCGTCTTTATCTTTGAACTCATACTGCTCCTTCCACCACAAATTAAAAGGTTCTGATATCTTCTTCAAAAGATTGCTTGTAATTTGATAATCAGAGAGCTAGCAAGGGCTTGCAGTACTAAAACTCATGAATCAGATATCTATATATATATGTTCAGTCAAGGTATTATATGATCCATGTTGGTTGATGAAAAGTGTGAGAAAGTTAAGGAAATGGGAATAATGAGGTAATTAACAGACTGGTTGTTGGGGAAATTTACATGCAAATACATGTCAATTACTGTCTAACACTCTGAACTTACGTTTCGAAGTTGCACTTTGAAACTTCATGTGCGATTAAGGTTAATATTGCGGGTCGTCTTGAGATGAGCCTTCTTCCACACCGTGTCTGACCACTTCAACTTCAAATCTCCACATACATTATAAATTGCGTTAGTTTTTGAACCATAATTTACAGCATACTGTAATTAATTAATCTCATGCTCGAAATGCTTATATGTGTGTAGATATATATATATATATTTGTATATGTTGGGATATTTTTCATGTTTATTAGCTTTCCGTTATGTGCAAGTGGCACCCCATTTAACATTTTTGGATCAGTTTGACTACTCATCAATTTTTGTTCATATTTTCCCCCACGAATACGGAACAATCAAGTCTATGTTATTTAACGTGAAATTCAATCTCAACCTTTGACCATCAACTCTTATTTATTGGCAATTTATATCAAATTTCTCAATTCTTTTGTGGGATTGAATTATGCCGCGCCAGATGCTTCTTTGCATTCATAGATGAAATTTAAGCAGTTTTTAATTCCGTGATGAATGCATAGCGTACAACAATACTAACATCATTACAAAATTAGTTTTTTGTTTGAAAGTTGAGTAGACTTGAATTAGATTCGCGTAGTAGATACTGAGAAGTAACCAGATAAAGCGGTTACCATATTATTATATATGATTTGGTGATGACAAGCAATTCATTGGAAATTGGCAAGGAAGATGTATACAGATAAGATCAAAGTTTAATTCATAATGAAATTTCGTTGATTAATTTACTTAAATTAAACCAAAAGTATTTATCGGTTTCAATTTACCACTTCTGAATCAGTCCAATATTATTATATTGTTCTCCCTTGCTTCATTACATCTCCTAATAATTAAGATCAAAGTGTAATTCATAACTATTCATATAAACAATAGCATTAGTGCTTAAATTAATTCCTGAAATAAAAAAAAATCCACGATGAGTTGGCTTGTGGTCTTTGAGTCGTTTTCTTCTCCGAGTATGACGACTTTTTCACCCTTCACGTACGCACCAGGTACGTTGAATCATATGTAATATAATTAATTAAATAACGAGCCTTGTATAATTAAATTTCTTTCCTGATTAAGCATCTAGTTAAAATTCTTTTGTTTTGGTCTTTTAATATAGGCGATTCCCAAAGAACCAAAAAACAAAAAAAGGAGAGAGAAAGCAATTCCCTTTCGTCTCCCTATAATCATTTTTTTAAAAATATTTTAAAACCTATCAAATTTCCTTCTCCATTCCGTGTTTGTCAACTTTTCCTATTGAACATTTTTCAAGCTTACCCATTCATTTTTTTTATATATACTTTAAACTAATTACTCTTTCTATTTTATTTTTTATTTTTTTGGGTGCTATATATATTTTATTTCCCATCTACAGTTCTTTTATTCTCTCCCATAAACACGGAATCGATCTCATGAATTATTCTTTTGACATGAAATTCAACTTCAATCTTTGAATCTCTTTAAATTCTTAAGTATATGTTTTTGTTTCCTTTTGTGTTGAATTATGTCGTGTAAGATGCTTCATTGCATATTTGAGGTGAAATTTATGCTGTTTGTCTTTAATTCAACTTGATCTTTGCTCAGACTTTGCACACATCTAATTGGAGAATTATTTACGAGTTTTCATTCAATAATATCGAATCATTCTCTGAAGAGTAATCCCCGGGGTTTTCTTTTTATTAATGAATGGTACTGTGACATTAAATGAGCGGTAAAAATAAAACGAATTAATAATTATAAATTACAAACTTAATTTATTTCTGGACGGAGGTAACATGTAGGGTGTAGATGTTATAAAGATGAGAGAGATAAGCGTAGAGATTTTATATTGACGCCTCATGATGAAAATATTTATCATTATATATGATGTGGCATGCTATAAATTATATATATATTGTTTATTTGAAGTAGTCCAATATGGACTTCCCACGCATAACTACATTTCTAGGAACGTCATAATTCTTCGTTATATATTTTCATGTGTGAAAAAGGACTTAATATGAACAGCTTGATCGCTGTCTGAATCAAAACTAATGCAAAGGTTTGAACATTGAACATAGACGATTGTGATTAATTAAAGCTTGATCGTGTGGGTCCCAATTCTTGTTCAACATATAAAATCTTCACCGTGTGTGATGACTTCAAACTTCCCGGACCGTGGAACATATAATATTGAATCATACAAGGAAGTGTAATTTACGGGTGTTTTCTTCGTTTTTTTTAATCTTTATTTTTTTCGTCTTATATATATATATGTATTCAAGTTAATTAAACCCAAAATTTAATTAATATACTAGTGAGCTGGATCTAATCAACCTACACTTTTCTTACATATAATTGAGATTATTTGCTTTCAGATAATTTTTTCTTTAAATTTTTTTGACAGGACTTCTTTAAATTGTTATCATAAATTAAAAAAACCAAATTAAATACGAACATAATACTGAAAAACGCATGACCTTAATTAACTTCTGTTGAAATTCGAGGTATCTTCATTTATTTTTAAAAAAAATTTAAGAATTTAGGTGTAATCTCGGTTGTTGCCAAAGGTGAACCAAATTTCATACAAATGTATAGCGTACCGCACACTTCATTTTTCAATCAACAAAAAAAAAATCAAGGCCAACTAAAATCTTGAATTATGAAACATGTTTGCGCAGGGAAAATGACACATAGGTCCATGTTAAGATACATAATGGCACTTTGAAGCATTGTAATTTTAAAATAACGCATTTTGGATTTAATGAGGCACACGCAAAATCTCCGCCAAATTATTGAAACAAGGAAAACCCAACAAATTAAATCAGCTATAGGAATAATGGATAAGATTATCTTTTGACAAAAAACGATTAGTGGTTTTAATTTTACCAGCCTGAACGTTATTTATATTATTCAATGTGTATATTTTAAACTACGAAGAAAAAATATTGGACCTTGATTTTTAGATGTAGGAAGGGGTGGTTGATATATAAATTTGCAGAGGAAGTTATATTTTAATTTCATAAATGATTTATAAAAACACCTCGTGGGGAATTAATCTACATAAGTGGCTTACTATTGTTATGCATATTTTAACAAATAAGCATTCTTTTTTTTTTTTGATAATTTAGGATTTGAAGGTTAAGGCCATATCATGCCACTTGTTTACAATAATTGATCTCTTGAATTTTACCGAAATTTAAATTAAATTACGCAGCACGTTCATTAATTTTAGTAATATAATAACAATGGTTAGTTACTTCTACAGAGTACATGTCAAGAGTGAAGACATGCATGAAGGTGAAACTACTCAGACACTTGACTTTGTATATTATTTATGGGAAGCAACAAGATCAACAAATCATTTCCAGACGCAAAACAAAACCAAAAAAAAAAAGTTGACTAATATTTTTCATGTTATTCTTATTCTTGCTAGCTATATAATTATGATAGAACTGCGCTATAATATTTTGTTTCCCTTATTCTTTTATCAAGACCGGCACTTGATGATCATCTGCATGAAAATAAAAACCAGAATGAGATTCAAGGCAGATATTAATACTAAAAAGATGGATAACAAGATTGTTACAAGATATGGCTGAATAAGTATGCATAAAAAAAAAATTTATCTCAACTTACGTAAAAGTACTTATAAGTATTTAAGATAAGCAGATGTAAATGAGATTTAATTAGGATCTCTTTGCACTTTGGAGTCAGGTTAATTACAATAAGGATGAGAATCTAAAAAGTTGTTTATGCAGGCACTTAAATTGCTACAAATTCTTTAATAATATAGCAAATATGTGAAAGTTGATTCATTTATTACAACGCAAACTGCATGGGAACCAGTTTCGGTGCTTATTGTAGGATAAGCATTATGATGCTCATTGCTGCAATGAAATCTGAATCATACAAAATTAGTTTTAATAGTCTAGATTTAAAATTTTCAGTTAATAATTTTATATAAAAATTTATTTTTTGAAAAAACTTGCAGTTAAGATATTACATTTATTTTGAATTATATACCTATTAAAAGAAAAATATTTTTTTAAAAAATAAAAATATTAAATACTAAACCTTGACCGTCCATATTGAATTTGGATAATTGAGATTTTGTGAGTATAACTGTAATTGGTTCCAACTACATGTGTGTGTCAAGGACTCGTTCATTTTCACATGTCATGTCCAAATTAAATTAAGAACCTAATAACAGAGCATCAAATTTAGCCCTCGTGGCAAGTTCATCATGAAGATCTGGTTTGAAGGTCTTGAATTTGAAACCAAGAATTTGATCCCCAAAAAAGAAATAACGCACAACCCATCTGTTTTTCCTAATGGAAAAAATAATTTACACGAATAACGAAAAGAATAAATAATGTATACGAACCTGAAAATGGAACGTAGAGATTTATGGTTGTCGACCAGCGGGGGACCTGACATCTTTAGTATTAGGGATTGAAGTGGGATCTTTTATATTGGGGCCCCTCGTCTGAGAGCCAGATGGTGTAGAGTTTCCCTGATTTCCCTGACTTTTGCTAAAAATATCCCTCTTATCTGGAATTGATGTGCCATTTCTTATATTGGAGCCCTGGTTTCGAGAGCTCATACTGCTCTCCCTCCTTCACAAAGCTAAGCTGCTGCTTCTTCAAAAGATTGCTTTATAATAATTTGATGAATAAATAGCTAGGGTTTGTCGTGAAACCCATGAATTAGATACCTGTATTTATATCCATGTATGGCGAGCTAAGCTAGGTATCCACGTTCGTTGATGAAAAGTGTGGGAAAATTAAAGGAAATGGGAATATATAATGA